CATAAAAATCTACTTGCTATATATAAGGGCTTTAAAAAATACTCTCAATTTGTTGGTTGTTTTAAGAGTCTAGCCAAAACACCACAAATGACAGAAAAGGGGGGGGAGAGGGAGAGAGAGAGAGAGAGAGAGAGAGAGAGAGAGAGAGAGAGAGAAATGAATGAATGAATGAGGACAGCCCAAGGCGGTGCCAGGCTCCTCCTGGGACTACTGCCCAATCCACCTAACGTTCTACCCATCATCTTAAACTTGCTGCAAAAATGGCGGCAAGAGTCAGATTTGCTGTAGAGGTGAGGTGCTTGCTAAGAAAAATGAATCACTGCACACTTGAATGAGAAAATATGAAGAGAGCACTTTTGCTCTAATTAGGGCCCATTTTAAGCAATTCATTAAACTGTGGCCCTGTGCCACAAGCCATCAGAAGGTGGAGCATGGGGCCACTTGAGAGCACAACACACAGATGACGCCTAATGATGCTCTCCATCACCCCAAGACAGGGAACCTGGGCAGAGGTGCCAGTGAGGCACTCTGGGTAAAGGCTACCCACCAGAAACCCCAGCAAAGGAGATGGAAAGGAGCACTGGCTAGTTCAACCCATGCAAGCACAGCAAGAAGCCAAACAGTGGGACACTCACCAACACACTTGTGCCTCCCTAAGGCCAAGAGCAGCCTCTCCCACACAAATCCAGACTTGGTCTGAGTCCCTTCTGCTTAGCCACCTGGGAAGGACCCTGGTCCCCTGGTGGGCCTCAGATCCCTCCTCCTCTTCCTCAAAGGTCCCACCACTGCCTTCACACTCCACTGGGGTGCAGGGCAAGGTGGAACCAGCTGCCAAATATGCAAAGAAGAAGGGAAGCTGGTTTTCTCTCAGGAAAACACACACAGGAAGGGAGTCTGCGCTTCCTGTCCTAACCAAAACGAGTTCAGAAATTATTCGGATGTCTGATTTGTCAGACTGATGGTGGAGAGGGGACTGCTTTTAGTCAAAGGGAATTGTGACTTCCCCACATTCAGGGTCCTCAGAAAAGCAGCACGGCCAGACCTGCATAAAAGGCCAGTGGCCTCCATGCCTGAGACTAGGGGTTTTTGACATTTTTAACAGTTTATCACTAGGTGATTGGCTGAAGACACTCTGGAATTCACCTGTTTATCAGAGTCAAACAGGAAAAGAAGAAAATGCCAACGGAAATACTTTGCCAGTTGTCTTTAGATTGATCCTCAGTTGCTGTCCCTTTGGGACTTTCACAGAAGTAACTATTAGGACACCTCCAAACCAGGGTAGGCACCCACTTCTCCACTTAGAAAGATTTGCAAATCACATTTTTTTTTTGGCTCATATATTTCACAGGTGACATGCAGGACTGAATGCCAAATGTTTAAACATGTCTTAAAAATATTTGTTACATTATCATGGCACAGTTCAGACCTATAGCAAATGACAGCTACTGAATAAGCGGATCCTAAAAATCTAAGAACATGAGCATGTATTCCAATAACTGTTTCCAGTAACCTAACATATGAAGCCATTTATTAAATGGAAAGGAAGCTGTGCTCGGTAGGACGATGTCAGCATGACTGTTTAGTCGACATCGCAAAACAGTTTTGTTACGGTTATGATAGTTTGCTGTGGGGAGGCCTAAGACCCTAAAAGAATCCCACTTTTCAACATGGCTCCTCATCTGCATTTTAAGAGTGTGTATGTGTTTAATGCTGATTCGTTGACACTTGACTTTAAGACACAGATTTAAAAAAAAAAATGTATACCTGTGCCTTTTTTGAGCAAAAACCAAGATCACTTTCAAAATGTGAAATGTATTTGTTTCTTCTGTATCCCATAGGAGGAGGAGGGTTCACCTGCTGCTTTTATAGTTCATATACTTCCCTGTAAAATGGAATGATTATCCAGTGCACCAAGAAATGAAGTTACGTGGAGAGAGCTACAAAAGGAAGGTGGCCATACCAGACAAGAAGTCACAATTATAGCTTCACAGTCAGAGCAGGAATACAGGCAGAACAAGAAGCCACAACGTCCCGAAATACTTGTTAGTCTTAAAAACAGGCAGCAGGAGTCAGTGGTCTCTAAAGAACCCAGAAGGCCCTTGGTTTGCTGGATTCACTGATATCAGTCTCTGTTAGAATTCAGCAAGTACCATTTACTTCATGGAGAAATTGTTTTAAAATTTCAAAAATTAGGGAGGGAAATAACTTCATTCCTGCTAGCCTTGGTGACTCTTGTTTAACTGCAGTTAAAGTATGTGAATGTGCAATGTTAGGCAGACAACTCAGAATGCTATAATCATCTATGCTCCAAGTCACCATTATAGAGAAAATAATTTTACTTTAGTAAATAAACAAATGAACAAACAAACCAAAGAAGGAACTTTGTCATTCAGCTTAAGTGTCCTTGATGTTAAAACTCTCTTGCATTGCTACCTCCATGCCACTCTCCATGTTATATGCACGAGATATGTGTGATGTGCGCATGCACTGGGAGGTGTGCATATGTACATATATAACTGACTTCCTGTATATATTAACATAAATAAATGAGATATGTGCATATGGTCCTCTTAAATTTCAGAAGTTTTACACTTTTGGACAATGTGCTACTATATTAACTAAATGTGGAATACAAATCCAAAATCAAGGAACAAACTTCCTCAAACCACAGAAGCACCAGTCTCCCCTCAGCCTCTGGGTGATGGCAACGCAGTGGCCTACAGTCCTCCTGGCCTGTGGATCTTTTGGCCAATAAGTTCACTGTAATCTTAATTCTTTAACAATGGAGACTGCAAGGACAGCCACCGTTTCTCTTTAGGAGACTATACACAAAGTTCTTGAAAGAACTGAACATCACGCCCCCCACACTTTCATTTGCAGTTCCTGGGGTCTCACAATCACAAGGAGACCACCAGGGTGCATGGGCTATTATTGCTATGATGCTCCTGAACTTGGGCAGAGATGTACCTTTCCCAAAATTAACCTTTGATTTAAAACACTGATGAATTAAATAGAAAGTACTTTGGAATTTCTTAACTATGGGTTTCAACTATCACTATGAACTGAAGAAGGAAATCATTGGATTAAATAAAATATTTTGATCATCATCTCTGGTGGATTGTAAGTCTGGGAAGAACATTTCATTCCACATAAAAAAGGATGAAAATGCATGTTTGTGGGGACATTTGAAATTAGACATATTTTATCAAACCAAATTGCACAGGTTGTAAAATGTTACACCATCATTTACATGGGATGTACCCACATTATTTCCTCAAGGTATTCTGTGTGTTACAGGGTGCCAATTCAATGTAAGCAGATCAATCTTTCTGTCACCGATATTTGTCCCAATTTAAATTTTGAGTCATATACCAAATAATTTGATTTGTCACAGAAACAACTTGGACATGTACTAATATAATATGAATAATACTTAAACTGTTACTTTAAAAATATATCATAGAAAAGATAGATTGGATTCAATTAACCTCATGGAACAAATACTTCAAACAAAGAAACTCAAGTGGGCTCTGGGATTTTCTTACAGATTTCACTCTCCCCTCAACACATAACCTAAACGAACCAGTCCTTAAAAGCATTTAAATGTCTATGAAAGTTAAAAATTTATATATATATATTATTTTCAACATTTATAATTTTCCTCTTTTAACACATTTTGATTATAAATGGATATTTCTGTAACACCACTTTAGCTCTGGAAGTTTAAACCAAGGCACCTCAAGGATGAAATATGTTGTCTGTGGCAGGTAGGAAAATTATGTGTGGGTAACCTGAGCAAAGCCGCATGTTACAATCCACTCTAGGTGGGCTCCAGCCCGAGAGAACATGGAAACCACTTTCTGAAAACTGTTCGGCTCAGACCTTTTAGAATTGGTATCCTTTTGGGTCACCAGCTGCCTCCAAATTAGAAAGAAATGTAATCATAAATTCTAAGATTCCTTGCACTAATGATGCTTGGCAATTTAGATACACACACACACACACACACACAGTTCATACAAATTGCAAATGACCTGACTGATGCCTACTTGAGGAGAGTTCATCCGTGAGGATTTCAGGATTCGAAAGTTGTACGTTTTCAATACCAGGATCATTTAGGTTTTGCACAAAGCAAATCCAAACTGGATCTTACCAGTAAGGCAAAACTCTCGCCTCAAAAATAAGACTTCAACCATGACTTTCTAAATGCTGGCTCCAGTGACCTCGCTATGCGTCTATGTAAACTTAAATATGACCTGGACATGCTGCTCCAGTGACATAGGTCTGCTGAGAAGTGCCAGGGGGCTAGCCTGGTCTCCCGACCTGCAGCCCCACCGACGTCAAGGCGCTCACAGTCCCCAGAAAGCGAAGACGGGCCAGAGCAAAACCCACACCAGGAATTTCGAATGACTTTCCTTTCTGTCCTGCTCTTTTGAATTTAAAAAAATAAAAAAAAAGGAAAAATCCACCAGTCACCCCCAAGTTTTCCTACCGAAATTCAATTCGAAAACACTCACGTGGATCTGTGCGCCGCGCTTTGGGGGGCCAAGCCTGCTCCTGGGGCGCGGAGAGCAGCAGGGAGCTGGGGCGCCTGCACCCCGCAGGCCCGCGCGGGAGGGTCCCCGCCAGCCACGGCCGAGCGTCCCGGGATGGGCTGCGCGGTGGCGGGCCGGGCGCGGCCGCGCAGGCACTTGTTAGAGTGCCCTGCAAAGTTGGCCGCGGAGCTCTTCCCAGCTTTCTTTCACAATGACTTCCTCAAGTTGCTCATTCGCTTTGTTCCCCATTTCTCGCCGCACTCCCCGCCCCCCGCGGCTCCGACCCGGCTCTGAGCCCCTGGCCGCCGGGCAGTCCCGCGCGAGAGCGCCGCCCGGGGGCAGCGCACCTGGCCCCGCTCCGCCACCTGCGGCCCGGCACCGCGCGCCCGAACCCGCTCTTGGAAAACTTCGGGAGGCGCACCGACCCGCCTTCCGCTAGGCTGCCCGCTCAGCCCGCGCGCTCACCGGGGGCTCCGGGACGCCCGCAGGGCGGAGGGGAACGGAGCGGGGCGCGGAGCTGGGCAAAGCCGCCAGGCAGAGTCGCGCAAAGCCGGCTGCCGTCCCGTCCCCGCCCGGTCCCGCTCGGCACCGCAACTCTGCGACTGCGGGGCCGCGCGCACAAAGTTTGCGGCCGCGCGGGGCTCGGGCCCGGCCGCCGAGGGTCTCCGGGCGGCGGCAGGCACCGGCC